GTGCCCATCTGCCTATGGGGGGCGGGGGAGGGGGGGTCTGGTCCCCCTGACAGTGCAGGCCGTGAGCTGTCATCCGCCAGCTCCGCACACCTGCCCGGAGCCGCTAGGAGGCCCCACGGAGGACCAGCTGAAAGCAGTGTGGCCGGGCGTGCGGCCTGCAGTCACGGGACCTGTGCTGTCGCCGCCTCAAAATTCTTAATAATTGTCAACAGGAGCCTCGCATTTTCATGTTGTGCTCGGCCCACAGTCTGAGCCTGACCACGGGAGGGTCAGACCAACCTGCTTCCCTGCTCAAGACCATCACCCATTCCTCCCCGTGGCCCGTGCACGCGCGCACACACATAACACGCATGCGCACATGCATATGCATATATACGCACATGCATGCACACGGACGCACACGTGCATATGCACATGCACGCACACACATAACACACGCACGCACATGCACAGGGGTGTCTGCATCCCCCCAGCAGTCCTGCACCTCCAAGCCTCCGACAGAGACGGTCAGTCACGCAGTGCACAGAGGGGGTCCTGCCTGGGAGCAGAGCCGCCCCAGCCAGAGGCCAGCCCTGCCGTGGACACCAACTGAACCCGAGGCCCCTCACCTGCCCTCGGGGCTCTCAGCCAATCAGAACAGAGACGTGGAGGCTAAGGACACGCCCAGCCCGGCCCCAGCAGCAGGGAAAGGCCCCATGGCCTGGGCACCCCGGAGGGCGGGGGTGAAGCCCTAACTGCCTGCCCTCAGCTCCATCGGCCTCAGACCCACAGCGAGCGGGTCCTGGATTCACGGGGTCAGCGCCCCGGGGCGGCGGGAGGGGAGCCAGAGCCCTGGATCCGCCTGCACTGCGGGACCCAGGCTACCGGAGGGAGACCGCCCCCCAGTGGCGGCAGCGGGTAGAAGGGCCGGGCGGGCCCCTCGCCCTTTCTCTGGTTCCTGGTCACCCCCTTTGCCCTGCGCCCCGTTTTGTTTAGACACCGAAGCTGGAGGACGCGAGGGGTCGGGCAGCAGAGGAGACGCAGAGGGACTCAGCTGTGGAAACAGCCGCACAGGAATGTTCGCTTTTTGATGATAAAATACAAAACCAGGGCTCCTAGGAGAAAAGTCGGCATTTCTGCCGCCACGTGAAGAAACCCTGGCTCCTGGCTGGTGCTCGGCCACTCCTGCGGGTCGCTGGTGGCCCTGAACGCTATGATGTTCCCGCCGCCAGGAGCGCGGGCTGGTGGACGAGCCCAGCAGAACCTCCGCACAAACGCTCACCGCGCACCCGGCGGACGCGGGGCAGACGCCCCGGACACACACCGGCCTCCACGGGTCGGCAATCGTCTGGGTGAGTGTTGCTGGTCCCCGTGGCGAGGCGGAGGGGAGACTCGGCAAAGGGGGAAGGGGGGTGGGGGGGGCGCCCGGGGAACAATCCTCTGGAGGGGAGGGGGTGCCACTTCAGTGACTTAAAGTTAGAGCCACATGAGGCTGCCAGGGCCACAGGCCGGCTCCCCACCTCCCGCCCCGGGGGGGCCTGGCCGGGATGGGGACCCCCTGATGCCTGTGAAGGGACCAAGCAGGAGCTGAGAGATGGAACCCAGAGCAGAGACTGTCCACGTGTTGGCATCGGGGCTCAACGCTCCCAAGACGGGGTGGCTCGGTGCCCCTGCCTCTGGTGGGATGTTGCCGTGACTACCAGGGACAGGTTCTGGCTCCTGGTAGATCAGGCTCTGCGCCTGGGTGGGCCTGGGCCTGGCAGGGTGCAGGGGGAGGAAGCGGGTGTTCTAGAACTTCCCTCTATTTAATTTTTTTAAAAAATATTTTTATTGATCTCAGAGAGGAAGAGAGAGGTGGAAATATCAATGATGAGAGAGAATCATGGATTGGCTGCCTCCTGCACACCCCACACTGGGGATCGAGCCCGAAACCCCGGCATGTGCCCTGACCAGGAATCCAACCGTGACCTCCTGGTTCATAGGTCGACGCTCAACCCCTGGGTCACGCCGGCCGGCCTAAAACGTTCCTCTACTTACACACCAGGGAGGGCTCTGGGGTGGAGCTGGGGCAGCTGAGTGAGAAACCGCAGGCATTTCAGCTCCCGGGGGCACAGGGAGGAGGGGCTGCTGGACCGAGTTCCTCTCGGGGACCGGGGACCCCAGCTGACGCTGCCCAAGGTCATCCGGCTCGTCTGTGCTCTGGGCCTCATTCTGGGCGGAGGCCGCAGAGAAGTGGGCAGACCCCCTACCGAGTCTGACGACCCTGCCACCTCTGCGCACAGCTGTCCCTTTCAAAGCTCATTCCAACCCCAAAGAGAAGGAGCAGAAAATCATAAAATAAAATAAATAAAATAAGAAAGGATAGAAATGAAGGAAAAACCTAAACACTTACTTGCTGTTTCCAATGGGAATTCCTAAAATAGCTACCCATCCAAATTTTCTTAAGAATCAAAAAGGCCCAACAGCCCTAGCCAGTTTTGCTCAGTGGATAGAGCAGCCGTGGGCAAACTACGGCCCGCAGGCCGGATGCGGCCCGTTTGAAATGAATAAAACTATTGAAAAAAAAGACTGTACCCTTTTATGTAATGATGTTTACTTTGAATTTATATTAGTTCACACAAACACTCCATCCATGGTTTGGTTCCGGCCCTCCAGTCCAGTTTAAGAACCCATTGTGGCCCTCGAGTCAAAAAGTTTGCCCACCCCTGGAATAGAGCATCAGCCTACGGACTGAAGGGTCCCGGGTTCGAATCCCAGTCAGGGCATATGCCCGGGTTTCGGGCTTGATCCCCAGTTGGGTGCAGGAGGACGCTGGTCAATGATTCTCTCTCATCATGGATGTTTCTATTTTTCTCTCCCTCTCCCTTCCTCTCTGAAATCAATAAAAAAATATTAAGAGAGAGAAAAAAAGCCCAGCCAACTAGAAGAAACGGTTTGGAGTAGAGAGAGGTCTTCCCTCCTCACGCCGTTGGCAGCTCCAAAACATGCCCACGGTCTCCACACCCAACTGACACCAGCACCTGCGCATGCCCACTGCTCAGCCCTCGGGTCCCTGGGGGCAGGGCTCTGTGCTCGCCCGCCAGCTCCTGGGCAGACAGACGGCGATCTGCCTGGGTGGATGGCGACCTCAATCGTCCCTCCCCGGTGGCTCCAGCCGCATCCTCCGACCTCACGCCCTCTGAGGGCACCTGGGTACCAGGTCATGAAGATGAGACACCTGTAGGGGGTCCGCTTACCACCCCTGAGATAAACCAGCACGAACTTCAGCGAAACCAGAGGAAGCCAGGCGCTTCGCATGCAAAGAGGAAACACTGCCCTTGTTCCCGCGCTGCTCCGTGGCCCTCAGCTGCCTCCCTGCCCTCCCTGTGCAGGACGTGCCACGTGCGGACAAGAGTCAGGCAGGAAGCCAGCCCCAGGGCAAGAGCGAGGGAAGTGGGAAGGGAGGTTGGGGGGAGGCAGA